AAAAAGGTCACCTACCTAAATTTGGGAGGCTATTAGTGTCACCTTAAAGCTAGGATCCCATTTTGCTCTTATCGGTTGATGATTACATTCTGGTCGGATCGGCTATCTATATCAGCTATCGATTAAGCCTAATAAAGATACGTACATAGGTATAGCATACGGGCATATACGTATATACTTAATATATTATATGTTATATTGTGTATCAGTTGTCACCGATTATTATGATTACACTCATTGAGTGAGACAGACACACGAATGTTTACTCGCATCAATACTATTTTATTTGTATTAAACATAATACCAGATAATTTTTTTTTTGCTATGCATAAATTATTTGTATTAACTATTTAATTTATTATTTATTAGAGAAAAACGGTATCTCGGTTTTTGGGAAAATGGCTACTGCCAAAATTTCGTATGAGAGCTAAAAAAATACTTTGGAGGTAATAATTAGTATATCCCAAATACCAAAAAATCTCGGACCACAATTTGTTTTTTTCGTGTACCTATACAACTTGTGAGTTTTAACCATGTACTAACAACATTAAGGACTGTGGTGGTGAGGTGATATCCGTCGGTCATAGCGACAGTCGACGGATAGCGAGTCTCTGCAGGTGACGTCATTGGTAGCGAGAAGGAACGGCCGGCCGACCGAGGCACGTGGAAATAGTTGTGCACGTGTGCGCGGGCAAAAAGTTTAATATTTTCAGCATTGCCGTTCGACCGCCTGTCGTGGTACTACTTGTTGAACGCTATTGTTATTGTTATCGAATTCAGATGTCACACCCGGGTAGCAGGAGAGGTGACCGCTTGGAGCAGGCTGATCATGCAAGGGTAATGTCTTTAAGATAGGCCTGATATTATAATATAAGTTCTAAATTTTTATACTTTTATCAAAAAAAAAACTGAGAAATTAATACCACTGGCGTCCACTGCCGACGGTCGGTACATACAATTATTTTATTTACCTATATAAGTTAATATATTATAATTATTGTAATCACGGAATTTTTATATATCAATTTTCAACCAACTATCAAGATTAACTACTTACAGATTCTGAGCGGTGCCAGGAAACTAGTTGTTTTACAATGGTGTTTATTTATTTTTTTATCCTGTATACAAAATTTCTACCACAAGAAGTGCTAAGATTTCATCATATAAAACCTTATATTTTATCGAATTGGATCAAGATGGTACTTTAAAGAGTGCATTTTTCGATTTTCTCAATAGTTTTAGTATTAAAATTATGTATGATTTAGTATTAAATATACCACGGCAAAAACTACTGACAAATTACGAAAAACCGCTAAAAATAGGATTTTAATTTCCAACGCTTTGTTTATCACCATAGAAACCAATAATAGTATATTGTGTGGCAAGGGCAGGAAATGAGCCACATATACTATTTTTTGTCACGCTATAACGATATGTGAGCCCGGCACTTTTTGGGATTTCCACTTTACCGCCCGCTGGACAGAAAAAGGACGCTTTCGAACTCTTCAACGGCTATCGAAAACCAAACTTTCGGTGCGGGTGTGACAAAAAAAATTATAAAATTATAATATTACCTAATTCAACTTACAGGATATAATAAATAATAAAAATATAAAAACCCAGACTGTCAAACCGTCTCCGCTCAGAATCGTTTTCTTATCCAATGATAATATGATATTATATCATTGAATTCAAGTTTCCATTATACATTGACCCACTTGTAACCTACTGTACAGCTGAGCAACATCCACTTACCCGATTTTTGTATGTATAATTTTTAAATATTCAAATATGCCTTAAATTAGAGTAGTTGTTCTCAGTTCATGAAAATTGAATTTTGACTAGTTTTCCATTCTCTGAAATAAATTTTATTAATATAAGCTAAATCGTTCTTCTAAAATAATTAAATTATTACAATAATTGTAAAAATATTTTTTCCGAAGTATTCACAAAATGTTAGGCGTGACTATATAGATTATTAGAAAATATAAATTATAATATAATATTTATAATCAGCGTGTTCTTATTTCGAGGAAACGATATCAGCCGTACAATAATTCGGTAATAAGTCGAGATTTCCAATAAAACACTAAAACTTCAAAGTTACATTCAGCAGTGCCTTTTTTTTCTATCTTTACATACTTGGTAGGTATGTGGTATATTATAAAATATAAAGAATATTCTACATAAATATAATATACACACCTATACATAAACGATACACGATAGTACGATACGATGTCTAATTCATGTAAAATAAATAGGTAGATACGAGAATTTTGTGGTGTCACAATTTTATTTTGCTTTACGTCAATTCTAAAAACAATTTTTATATTTTTTATGAGTTTATGAATTTTATTGAAGTACGTAATTATTGAATAAATAATTACCAATGGGATATCTATACATTTAATTTGATTTATTAAACAATACTAATATTATAATTTGTTATGTTCAGTCAATATAATTAGTTCATAATTACTTAGCAACATAGATTAACTTGAACTCCTAAGTTAGGAATATATTGATAATTAAAATATTTAATAACTGTAGTATATAATATTATAGAGAGAAAACTACAGTTGTGGACTGTGGTAAATGTATTGTAATAATAATAATAATAATAATAATAATAATAATATTAGACCGATAAGTAATTGTGAACAACATACATTTTACTATTTTTACATGTGATTGAGAGGGGGGAGTTAAGAGCATTGGTCCCCTGTAGTTTTTTGGATGTCACCCGAGTGCGTCCATAAATTATATCTTTAATATGTAAATTTATGTCACTTCTCTCAGACATAATATATTCATTTTTAGGTATAATAAAACAATTCAAATTGATAATCACATTTAGATACATTTTAATTCAATCAGCTTATCAAATACCATGGGTAAAAATTTAGATCGGTTAATATAATTTTTATTAATTGAGGACAAACAATTTGAAACTCAGATATTGTTATGATGTAATTTAAGAATCAATCAAAAACAAAATTGTGATGTATAATTATTAGTAAAAAAAAAAATTACAGTTTAAAATTGACAAGCTTATTGAAAATTATGTTATATTTTTTAGTTTATTTTACGGTCCCATTTTACATTAATATTACAACATTTGAGAATTAAAATTCACAAAAACAAATTTTTGGGGTGTAATGCAGTTTATCTCTTCATGATGCACCCCGGGGAATGCAATTTAAAGTGGTAAGTATAATTTTTGTTTAGGGCACATTATGAATATACAACGTAATAATATTATACTGAAGTACGTAAAACGTATATTTTTTTTCTATCAATATAAAGTTACAGGTTTACATCGAAAAACTACATAAAAAGGACGCTGCATTACGAAAGTTCATTCTTCTATTAATAATAAAATATTGTCATTCTGTTGTGAATACATTAGGTAACTAGAGTGGTGTTTAATTCGCAAAGAATTTTTTTTAATTGTGATCTCCAAATAATTGTGTAACAATCGAAAGACAAATTTGTAAATACCTAGGTATAGGTACACCTTTGAATATACCAATTTTAATTTGTAAGGACAATTAATCTAGTATAAAAAAAATTAGTGTAGGTAGAGTAATATTTTATTAAAAAAAAATATGCTGTTCCTTGTTTTTTTAAAAAAATCTGCAAATAATACAGATAATATTTTTCCAACACTGCAGGCACCCATAGATGCAATTTTATCTACATCGCGTGCTGCAGTGAATGCACTATGTATGCATAGCTAAAAATGTTAGGCGTACCTATGAATAAGTGCCTATCTACCTATTTATAATATCATAGTGTCTATGATATTATTATATGCTTTTACCTAAATTCAATTTATTTTATAGTTTAAATGTTTGGAAAATCCATTTTAATCCACCAGTTATATTGTTATTGCTCATAACAATATTAAATTTAAAAAAAAAACACTGCAACACGAACTAAAATCAAACAACGACGATTTTTGTAATTTCTTTGTACTATAATTGAACCGCGAAGACAATTAAAAACGAAAAAATACAACTTTGTAAAACAACAGTTCCGATACTTAGTTATTCTATACAATTTCTAGATAATTTCTAGTATAAATTCTTTGACTAAAGCCGTTCGATAAATTATAAAATAACGGATTTCATACTTGAACATACTGTAACCACCTATTAAGTATTTAGGTACCTAAATAATAAAGTACTATTTTAATCAATGCTATTACCTAAATAAGTACAGGCAGCATACGGAATACAATATAAGTACATACGCACGTCAAGCAAAAAAAGTCCACGGCTTTGATGTCATTTAATATTATTTAATTTGCCTTCAGCTTGATTAAAAAAATATATGTACTAATAATATACCTATCTAAGGTAAAATATTATAATTCATGTTCAGGTAGGTATACAGTATTACTGTACTTATATACACCTATAATACGTGTATTGTGTGTAATATGTATTATGTAGGTATCGAAGAACTATCGAGTAGATCAAAAACCGAATCGTTGATGAGAATAAGAAAGCGAGAAGGAAGTTCAAGTAGGTATCTACAGACTCGTGATTGGTGGGAACGCTGACGAAGAGCAGCAGTATTAACATGACAAATATTTATTTGTCACGAGTGCCTATTGTTAATAGAAGCTGTTGTGTATTTCGTATCTTTTGTAACGGCGCGGCGGCAACAGCACTAGCGCCTACGTGGCGGGATCGTGGCAAAACCCCGTACTACGCTATTGTAGTCATTGTTGTTCCGACAATTCGGTGCGTTGTCGACGCGTTGTCCGCACGTTTCGTTAAAAACCATATTATTTCTACGGTAACGCCACACCGCATATCACGTCCGTGGACGCTGTTGCAGCTGACATTCGTCGACGCTGTTGAGCCCCGCTTAGTGCTCGTACGCACGTTTCGAATATTATTTATCGATCGTTTAGTCGGTTTGCCACCCAGTATAGGTGCCCGTGTTTTATTGTCCGCGTACGTTGTGAATTCCGCGTCAAAAGCAAAATGAATAGGAACTTGAGCCGAGATATATTCAAAGCGATATTTCTGAACGATCTAAATAGGCTAAGGGAGATATTCGTGCACTACAACCTCTACTCCTGGAACCTGTTGGACAGACGCAGCCTGGCACCAATCCACTACGCGGCGTACAGAGGCAGCGGGGAAATCATCAGCTGGCTCGTGTCTGAGGCGAGTTTACTAAGTATCTGCCCCCCCCTCCTCCACCCTCCATACACACGGATAGCATGCAAGAGTAAAAACAATTGCTTTCGAATTTCGCGCCAAAAATATTGTTATTGTATTATAGTCGGAAAATGTTAGATTAATACGAATAAATCGTACAAAATTACACCAATACAAGAAATACAATATGTCATTTAGTTTTAATCAATACCTATTGTTAGGTGTAGATATAAAAATTTCAAATAGATACCAGTGATACCACTGACAATTATTTTATCGATATTTTTATTAAAAGTCAAATTTAATTAGATCTTCTATCTATTTGAAAGTATTATTATAATAATTGGGTACCTATATGATAATTATTATTATAACAATTCCAACTTATGTAGGAGCTTTATCAGAGGAAAATATATTTATAATTTTTGTACATAATACATTATATACTAGATAAGATTTGATATTTTTAATTTATGGGTTTTAAGACGTATGCCCTATTTATTATACAAATAAATACATATTATGTACAATATATAATTTCCGAAGGGAGAAGGACTAAATTCCCCTTGGAATGGGGCTTGTTTTTAAAAACCTACATGCAATCCGTATTCCGACTGAACCCGTACCTACCAGGTTTTTTTTTAAAGGGGATGGGAATTAGGAATTTTTTAGAATGTTACGAAACAGTTTCCATACTATTTGGACGTTTACCTATTCGTATACCTATACCTATACGTATAACCCCCCCCCCAAACATTATAGATATTGCCCAAGGGGGGGTCTGGTTTTGGGACCCCCTTGGTTGTGCCATTGACTACCTAACTACCTATATGTTTTGTTTTTTAATCTTCATATTTATACTAATACAATATACACTGTACTTTCTTTGCTCATTTCAGGGCTCCAAAGTTAACTATGGAAGTGACGATAACCAAAATTCCCCCTTGCATATGGCGGCTGTCAAAGGTAACACTGAGATTTGCAGTCTACTGTTGACATTAGGCGCCAAGAGATATGTGACCAACTACATCGACCGCACGGCAGCTCAAGTGGCCGAGGATAATGGTATGTATGCTCAACGACTCGATATTAATAGGTACCAGTGACGGATCCAGGAGGAGGGCAAAGGGGGCATTTCCCCCCCCCCCCCCCAAAATTACCCTTCCCACAATTAAGCCCTGGATCCGCCACTGATAGGTACCTATTCTACAATGGCCGACTGTCGTGTCTTTATATTGTAATGTGTGTATGTTTATACTTAGGCTATTTCCACTGTGCGACAATAATCAACAACTATGTGCCCAAAGAAGAAGTCAGATATTACACAATACCGGAGTACAATGGCTGCGAACCAAAGTTGCCACCTGAATTGGAAGGACTTTTTTACAAATTTATTATGATGGTAATAATTAGAGATAACACTTATTGATATTAATTATTATGAACATAGTCTAATCGTAGTGTCATAATCTTTTTCAGACTAATATCCATCCAGTAAAAGTGGTTTTTGAATTACCTTCTGTTTTTCTCGTCAATGAGAATGCGTTAAAAATTGTCAAGGTGTTACACTTGATGAGCAAGCGTCAATTTTACAAGAAAGAAGAGTGCAAAAGTACAACAGAAATGCTGTCATTTAAATTCCATTATCTGGCTACTATTCTGTTTGAACTTGCAGAACCCAAGTAATTTATATCTAAAATAGGTAATGCGTTTACGTATTTAATAATATGTTAATTCTTATTTTCAGTGATGACACAAGTAAAAATCAAACAGATCCCAAGGATGTGTTTTTACAGAAAATATCCACAATTGAACATTTTTTGCAAAAGTTTCTTCATGATTGCATTGTAAAGTTCTCCTACAAGGATACTGCACTTTTTAGACAAGTAAATTTATTATTCATTATGTAATTTTATACTTGCTTTGAAAGTTAATGCTAGTTAATTTTCTAATTTTCTAATGAAGTTTCAACTTTATGACTATTGGTTATCAATTACAATTACTTAACAAGTTATTCAATTATTTTTTTTATGTTTTAAGTCTATAGATTGTTTAAATTAAATTATCCTAGTTGTGTTTTTTAATCAAAGTAAATCATAATTTTCTTTTTTAACTGTTACATTGTATATACATAGTATGATTTTAAATATATTTATACTATTCATTTTTCATACAACATGATTATACCGCAATGACCCAATGGTCTGTTAAAGTTTTAAACTAATCAACTGCTTCCATGAATAATAAAAATTTAAGAAAAGTAAATGTACCATATTAATCTTATAAAAAATATCAAAGTTCAAAAAAAAATTATATTATTAATTTCTTTCTAAATAATTAAAATTTTTATAAACATTCAGTATTTACAAAACAGTTTTATAATTATAATTAGGTGCCTACTTTGTGTGTTTGTGTATATTATGTAAGCTTGGTTAGTTTTGTAAAGTATTAAGTAAATTAATACATAATTGTACTTATACGTAATAAAATCCTAAAAATGCAAAAAAATGCAAAATAAAAGTTATATTTTTAATTCTATGATGTATGAAATTAAATTAGTGATTGAAAAGCAATGTTTTTGTACATACAGAAAAAAAAATGCAATTTGCATTCAAATCCATTCCTTACTTAATAGTTGATTGATTTAAGTAGTATATAATTTTAAATAAAATCTTTTTTTATGAGTTAATTTTATTATTTCTACTGTAAACGATTATGATTCAAATTGTTCAATAATGATAAATTTGTTTTATTCTAGATGGTATCTTATATGGTACAAGGAATGGATAGCCTGCCACCACTTGACATTATACTATTACTGGTTGGAAATAAACGTGCTCAGAGTGGTGAATCAACTAATGAACCTGTAACATGTGCCGCATGTGATGAAATAAATGCTTCAAAAAAATGTCCCAAATGCAAAGCTGTGAAATATTGCAACCGCGCGTGTCTGCAAATTCATTCACTTATGCATAAAAAGAAATGTAAACAAATACGCAGGGAAATCAAAGATTTGAAATCATCTGAAGAGACTTCGGTTTTAGCCAAATGTTTGTCTATAATAGGGATCAAATAAATTGAAATCAAAACAAGTGAACAAACATAATTTAGTAGATTATTGGTTATTACTATTATTACAATACTATATTATGATTATTATTATTATATATTGGCACTCATATAATATTCAATGGTTTATTCATTATTATTACATTATATTATGATTATTATTATTATTATATATTCTCACGCATATAATATTCAATGGTTTATTCTTTATTGGCTTAGTATGTAACTAAATACATGTTTATAATTTATACATTTAAAATTTAGATTGATATGTATGAATAATAAATATAAAATAATTTGACTATAAGTGTCACCCTGATTAAGTATAATAAATATATTATAGATATCTTTATTGGTAATACATTACCCTTATCTCATATATTATATATCACTATTAAAACTATTAACCATACATTTGTATATGTCAAATTACTCAAACATTTTATATCTACTTTGTACCTGATTTAAAAATATTTTTGAAAATTAATATCTTTTAAGCTAATTGCTTTTTTCAATTATTGTTTAATAAACTCATTTAATTTTTAAGTTTGTAATCCAACATTCAATTAATATGTAAAATATTTTATTGAAGAATCTATAAAATAATATAACACCATTTTTTGGTTATTGGTAAAATATTATGTGTATATGCATTATTATTTGTACAAATACTTATTGTGTACCTAAAAACAACAAATTCAAATTTGTATAGTAGATGGTATAACCAAAAAAATACTAATAAATATACATCAACTTTATATTTTATACAAATACCTATACAATTAATTGAACAATGAGCATAATATTATGGACAACACACATAGATTGGTAATTTATTACCAAGCATTGATGCAATACAGGTGAAATTATCAACTAAACATTGAAATCGACTTTAGATGGATATAAACTTATGAGAAGTTAAATGTTTCTTACTTTTTTATAAATTATATAATACTATCGGACCCTTGTGGACTTCTTTGCCCATAAAAAAATCCAACCATTAAATGTTTCAAACTGTGTTCTATTCGTTATTTAATATTCAATGTAATGTGGTTCAAAATTTAAAAAAAAAAAAAGAAAATATTTAATTTGGTACCTAATAACTGCTTTGTTTGAGGCTTTATATGCAATAAAAAAAATCGAAAATATATGTATGCATTTATGCAATATAAATAATTTTCCATGACTTAGACAAGACAATACCATTGATGAATAATAAAATATGTTCATTGTTTTCCTGTTTCTCACGAAATTTTTGTTATCACTTATCGCTAATTTTATTATTTTATCATTCACTGTAACGTTGAGTTAGTTTTTGCCATACAAACGTATGTCGTAGAGCGGTGATCACTATGAGTGACAACATCGGCGTAACTAGGGGAGGACTTATTTAGCCATCCTATGAGGATTTAATTTTTAGCCCCTACTTAGGCTCGTAGTTAGAACCCACATCGTTACGAAAAAAAATAATGTGTGCAATAATAATTATTATATTATAAAATATAATATAATATAATTGACATTGGGTACAGTGTAGGTACGTAAGATATATGAGTTTATCGTAATTGGTCATAGTTTTGGCGGAAGAAATGTGTTTAAGGTGTAGGTATCTAGACATGCGGTAGCGTGTCAAGCCAAGTTCTAGCTAACAGAACTGGCGAGCAGCACCGTGTGTAATATTACACGAACCATTTGGAGCCACTTTTGACCCTCTCATAACTCAAAAACTATTCCACATAAACATGTCAAATTTGGCTCATATATTGAGACTAACGAGATACATATGTGCTCTAAATTTCATAAACACACTTCAAACCGTTATTTAGATATTAACGTCCGAAAATCGTCATTTTTATTACTGACTTACCTATAGATCAAAATTCTAACCCAGTTCCAGATGACCTAGAAGGTTCAAATTTGGCATACAGATAGGTAGTTAGGTAAATAAAAAGGAAAAAATCAGAAACTTGAAAATTTTTTAATTTTTTAATCAATTGATTTTATTATAATTTTGCAATTATTTTATCTATTATGTTTAATTTTTCAATTTATAGGTTAGGTTAGGTTAGGTATAATAATTGCCTCTAATTTAATGTACTGTAATGTAATGTTGACTTAAATAACCTTTCCCGTATCGCCGCTCCAAAAATACGTCTAGCCGAATATGTGTCGATATTGTCGACCCGCGCGCAGCAACATACTTTTTTTTCTATCTATGTATGTAATTAATATTATTTTTTTTAAATATTACAATTAAAATAATTAAATAATTATTCTTACAAATTATGAATTATCCACCCAACAGTAGAAACTACAGTCAATAAAATTATGATAATTAAAATATACTCAAAAAGAGTGAAAATAATTGTATATTAATTTTACATATATTTTATACTCTGTATATACAACGGAAAATATTTTAATATTTAGTACTGAATTATATATTGTAATACTTTTTATGAAACGCATGCTAGTTAGGTTATATAATAATTTATAAAAAGTACTGTACCCACCAAAACAATATGTAAAGAGACCAAGTCATACTCATATTGCTTGTTGTTGATCACGACAAAATAAGTGAGATCTAAATGGGTGCCAAGTTAGGATAATATATTGAAGCCTAAGGTCTGACTTGGCTACGAATTATATATTATAGCATTTGCAAGTTCTAAAGCTTTGAGTTCTTATTTATTCTTCGGAAAATCATCTTCACTCTTCCATTACTGTTTTAGTAGGTACTTATAATAATAATTCGTATATGAAAAGTAGCCAAGTCACTCTTAGGCTTCATATATTATGCTAACTTGGCACCCATTTAGATCTCACTTATTTTGTCGTTGAAGTCAACAACCAAGGCATATATTAGAGTATTGAACTTGGCTCTCATTTTACATATATGTTTTTGGTGGGATACACTATACTGTAAAGAGTATCTGCTTATTGCATATTATTAGCTTCAAGCTTACCTATATAACACCCTATTGGCTATTACCTATATATAATATTTTTATATTATTTTATAATTACCTTTAAGGCTTTAAATAGGTGCCCGTGTCCTGTACTGGTACCTACCTATTCTCATAATATTATAGTTACCGTCTATAATATTAGTTGTATTCACGGACTAAGATTATGTCTTGGTCAAAGGTTGTATCGCACATTCGTACATTGGTTGAATACTATTATATAATCATTTTATTTTCCAATTCTGAGTTCTCAATTTACTGTGCGTCTGTGGCACTCTCTGTGCAGACTGCAAAGTAGGTAGGTACTATTCAGACTGTCACAGCCGTTATTTTTATTTATCAGTAAGTATACGGTATACGTAAATACCTTAGATTTTATTGTACCTATACAATTATCAAAATGTTCAGTATATTCAAATAAAAAAAAAAAGTTGATGATTAAATCGTTTTAATAATACTCATTTGTGTGTCCCAATCGTACGTCAGTACAGTCGTACGAACCCCAATCATCAGTCTCATCAGTCATTACTCGTATTTCATTCACAAATAATTATAATATTTCAATAAATTGCATTGTATTGACGATCAGACGATTTGCGATCGTGTATTGATAGCGCTCTCTCGTAGCCAATTCAGCAATCGTCCGATTGGAAAAGTGCTCTGCTGTACAGTAGGTTACAGGTGGGTCACTGTATAATGGATGGTATTAAATTTGAATTCAATGATAAAATATCATTGTTTAAGAAAAAACAATTCTGAGCGGAGATGGTATGTTAGCCTAGGTATAAGCCAAATTATGTACTTATCTATGGTATTAAAAAAATTGACCTATTATATTTACCTATAATAAATTCCAAATTAATCATATCACAATATCCATTAGGTACTTCTAACGCGTTATACATCAACAACAAACCCTGATACTATCATAGATATATAATAGTGTACTTAAGAAGTTTCAAGTATACCCACGAATAATATTATACAATCACAACAAAATAACTAAAATAGTTATTCTAGGTTTCTTATTATGTAATTTCGTCCAAATTTGAACTTAAATTGACTATAAAAATAAACTGTGTCTATGTATTTTTTAGATTTTTTGGTAACCAAATTAACTACTTAAGTGGAATCTTGTTTTAAATTTTCTTTTCTTAGATATAAAAGTAGAACATTTTATAAATTTTTAACTACAAAATAATTATTCAATTTTAAATTTGATAAATTTTGTCAAAATTCGATCTTTAAAGTTTAAATGCTCATATAAAAAAAAATTGTGCCTATGTATTTTTAATATTTTTCAACTGATATTGAACCAATATATCAGGAGCCTTGTATTTTCACACATTTTGGCAAAACAGTTAAAACTATTGATATTTAAAGAAAAAGAACTAAAAAAATTGAAAACTGTAAATGTCCGTAAACAGCTCAAAAAGAGTCAAAATATTGTCAAAATTGTATTTTGTATAGGAAATGCTAATACAAACATTCAGTGAAATTTCCATGTATCTAAAGTTATTCTTTTTTGAATTACATAAGGAAATCGCTACATGAGAAATCAAGTGAATATCCAATGTTGTAAAAATTTGAATTTCAAACGCTCATAAAAATTTAATTTGACATTCTTATACACATTTTTTTTTTGATAAAGGTAGATAATCTTATAAGGAATCTTGTATTACATTTTAAAATCTTAGGTTTAAAATTAAAAATTTTTACGAATTCTAAACTCAAAATAATTTGAACATTTTCGTGATTTTCCATATTTTGTCAATTGTTGAACTTTAAATGCTTATAAAAAAAAACTGTGACTAAGGATTTTTATTATTTTTCATCTGCCTTTGAAACAATATACTAGGAGCCTTCTATTAAATTTTCAAGTTTTTTTAACCAACAAATAAAATTTTATTGATATTTTTAGAAAAAAACTAAAAAAAATTTTAAATGAAAATGTTTCTAAACAGTTCAAAACCAATCATAATATTTTGAAAATTTTATCGCGTATAGAAAATGCTAATATATACATTCGATCAAAATTTTA